TCCATAGAGTACTTTTTTATAGCATTGGGTGACAAACGAGCACACAGTCCACCTGATAGTAAGTGGATGCCGTGACATTTATCCTCAATTAAGGATCGAAATGCAAAAGCGTCGTCACCCCTCAGGACTAAGATGGAATGCCTCAATTCCAGTAAAAATTGTCTCCGGTTCTCTACACTCACCATAGGAAACAGCAGCATTAAGCTGCTATTTTACGCTGGTATTCTGTGAGAGCGTTGTCCTGCCCCGGTCGAGCCGACCCATTCATGTTACAACTATGATATAGCTGCAGCGTGGATCTACAACGTATAAATTAATACATACTACACTGGTCTAATTTAGGTACAAGAGGAAGTTACTGTTTTATGAAGTTATTTATTTATTTATTCGAGATAATATGATCAAGCTCTTTGATGACTAAGTGGTCTGGGTCACTCTCTTACCTATTTTGCCGCTCAAAAGCAATTTTTATACTTCTGTGTTCCAGTTTGGAGGGTATAGAGATCCGAAACCAGTATAGGTAATTACAGGCTGTGGCATTCCATCTTAGTTCTCACACAACTCATTCCTAGCCTTCTTTGTTTCAATATGGCTGCAGGTGTCCATGGACTGCAGAAGCCACTTATCATCAGGTGGATTGTCAGTTTGTTTGTCACTTCAGTACTTTATAACAAAAATGACGCTCTATATCCTGTACAATTTTTTTATAGGACAGGGTGACAAACGAGCACACAGTCCACCTGATGGTAAGTGATTGCTGCGACCCATAGACATCTACATCTATCCTCGATTGCAAATCAAAATGAAGATGCGTTGTCACCCGTAAGAACTAAGATGGAGTGCCTCGTTTCCAGTAAAAAGAGTCTCCGGTTCTCTACACTCATCATATGCATATAACACAGCAGCATTAAGCTATTATTTTACGCTGGTATTCTGTGAGTGCGTGGTCCTTCCCCAGTCGAGCTGATCCATTCGTGCTACTACTATGATACTAATATAGTTGCAGCATGACTCTACCACGTATAAGTCTTTATAACAAAAAATGACGCTCTATATCCTGTATGATTATTATAATATGCACACACCATTTTAGTAGCTACTTTTTAACGCTGTCAGCATCTCTCCATCGCAATCCATTCACTACAGCCTATCAAATTTCACTACTGAACATGGGCCTCGCCTTAGATTGTATCATGAGGGGGGGCGCTACTCATAAGTATTTTTATAAGGGTTACAAACGAGCACACAGTCCACCTGATGTTAAGTGGATGCTGTGGCCCGACATCTACATTTGTCTACGATTAAAAATCAAAATGCAAATGTGTTGCCAGCCCTGAGGACTGAGATGGAATGCCTCGTTTCCAGTGTCCGGTTCTCTACACTCACCATACGAAACACATTACCATAAAGCTGCTATTTTACGCTGGTGTTCTGTGAGAGCGTGGTCCTACCCCTGCTGCTGTGGTGCTGCAACCACAATATAGCTACAGCATAGCTCTGCCACATAAAACACACACACGTTTTAGAGACAAGTTTACAACCACTGTTTTTTAGTTGTTATTAGACTACTTGCCATCTCCAGGATTGTTACCACTTGTCGCCTCTTACTGCACCCACGGAACCATGTGGGATAGTAGTTATTCTTACGCCGCCACGGTAAACCTCGTTGGCAGACTTAATCAGATATATTTTGTAGGTAGTTTACAAGTGGTGTGCGATTATGAATGATACTAATGTAATTACTTGTTTATACCATTATTGATTACAATCACTGGAATTATTTGAAATATTCCCAAAACTTTGCAACTAACTAGCTGGTACCCGGCGCGTTGCTGACGCAGAAGAAATAATTGTGAAAATATCGTTTTAAATTTAGTAGAGTTGTATTGTTTAATTAGGAATGATAATAGATTCTTTGAAATTAAATGTTTATATTGAATGGTTATATCTTTCAAATAAATTTATCGGTACGACACGCGCGCCACCTACCTTAAGTTTATTGTACTATGCCTATAACCTTCACACAAGTGCACGTACTAAGTTGACAAAGTTTTGCCCCAATCTGATGAACGGTATGGCAGCGAATAGAATACGAACAAACAAGCATAATTTTTGATTTATTAGATCTGTGTTACTTTACTTACACAGGAAGGAAATCAGTGATTAATGGTATATGTGATCAAATAATCGTGAATTAATTGAATTAATCCTTTTGGAATAAAGAAGAGGATGCAAACTCGCATGCGGCTCGCATGGTATGTGACTACGCCCATGAACAACTGCAACAGCAGGGGAAGTGCTAAATTGTCAAATTGACGCTCGTAATCAAAAAACTAATAAAAATTATTATAGTGTATCATGCGTGTTATGTGTATAGCAATAATACAGTAAGCAATAATAGCAAAATAACTGGCTTTTGGTATTATTTGAGATAATAAAGTGAAATAAATTTTAATTTAGTTTGTAGATATAGTAATAAAAGTGGAAAGATCGATCAACCATCAATAAGTAGATTTTATTTAGTCATGTAAACCATAACTAAATAAAATCTATTAATTCATGACATGGTAAACTTATTAAGATTATGAAATACACGTTAATAGAATTTGAATGTTGGACTTATTTTTTTATATAGAAGAGGGGGCACAGGAGCATGTGGCTCACCTGATGGTAAGTGACTACCGCCGCCCATGCACTAACGCAATAACAGGGAATTGCAGGTGCGTTGCTGGACTTTTAGAAAGAAGTAAGCTTTTTTTGAAGGTCCCTAAGTCGTAACGGTTCGAAAAAATCATAAACAATTCCACGGAGAAGTTCTAGGAAGAAAAAAATGTCTTAGTAAAACGCACAGTGGTGAACCGCCAAGCATCCAAATGGTGAGGACGTTAAGCTCTGCTCCTAAACTATTTCTATGAACTATGATTTATTACTTTTTATTATTGCTAATTTTAAATTATTTTAATAAAAATATTTAAGCCAAAACTTCGAGCTTTTCCTTGTGAAGCTTCTGCTATAAAATCGATTTCAATACCCTTGACGAACTGTACCTAACTAATTTGTTTATTCTGGAATGATTTATTCGTATACAATCTGGGGTTATACGAGTAATTTGCAAATTGGTTTAGCTATTTTACTAAATAAACATATTTTAGCGAATGAAAAATGGCGCACGAAAAATCCACGATTTACGATGTCAAATATTTCATTCAATTTTTGTACACCATGAAAACGATCCCGGCCATCGTAACCTTACTAATTTTAGACATATCGTTTTCCCAAATTATTATTGAAAATGTTTTAATTGGTAATGTTGTACAAACCATGGAAAAGCCTATATCAATAATGGCAGTACTTTGTTCATCATCTTGTAAGTAATTCTTACGTAACAAAACCGTGATTTTTCAATTTGTACAAAAAGAAATGAGAATTGAAGAACATGCAATTTAAATGAGCTTAATCATCATCATTATCATTACAGCCCTTCACAAGTCCACTGCTGAACATAGGTCTCCCCCAAGTAATGCCACAAAGCACGGTCCTGAGCCACCTGCATCCATCGACTTCCTGCACGTTTTACCAGGTCGTCACTCCATCTAGTGGGGGTCGCCCTACACTACGCCTACCGGTACGAGGCTGCCACTCGAGAACCTTTCTTCCCCATCGGTTATCGGTTCTTCGAGCTATTTGGCCGGCCCATTGCCACTTCAACTTACTCGTACAATCCGTTGGGCTATGTCGGTCACTCTGGTTTTACTGCGGATATCCTCATTTCTGAGTCTATCACGCAGAGAAACTCCGAGCATAGCCCTCTCCATAGCTCGCTGAGTGACCTTGAGCGTCCGCATACGGCCAGCAGTGAAAGACCACGTCTCAGATCCGTAAGTCATCACTGGAAACACGCACTGGTTATACACTTTAGTTTTCAGAGATTGAGGTATACCTAACGAGAAGATGTGTCGTAATTTCCCGAAGGCTGCCCAGCCGAGTTGAATCCGTCGATTGACCTCTCGGTCGAAGTTGGACTTACCTACTCGGACTATTTGTCCTAGGTAAACGTACTCGTCAACAACTTCGAGCATAGTGCTCCCAATCAAATCCTAACTACCGGCATAGGTGTGACATGGACATTAAACATGATCTTTGTTTTGTCCATGTTCATCTTAAGACCTATCCGTTGGGAGACACCATTGAGGTCATTGAGCATAGTGCTAAGGTCCTCTAGCGATTCTGCCATAAGGACTATATCGTCGGCAAATCGAAGGTGAGTGATATACTCGCCATTGATGTTAATACCGTATCCTTTCCAGTCCAGTAGCTTGAAAACGTCTTCAACGCAGCGGTGAAGAGTTTCGGTGATATAACATCACCCTGTCTTACACCTCTCTGCAGTTGGATAGGTTTCGAGCTCTGGTTCTGTACTCGGATAGCCATCGTAGCCCTACTGTACAAACACTTCAGCACCTCGATATACCGACAGTCAACTTGGCACCGCTGAAGGGACTGTAGTACCGCCCAAATTGCGACGGAATCAAAGGCTTTCTCATAGTCCACATACGCCAGGCAAAGTGGCAGATTGTACTCTTCAGTCTTCTGTACAATCTGCCGCAGGGTATGTATGTGGTCTATGGTACTGAAGCCTTTTCGGAAACTGGCTTGTTCGGGAGGCTGGAAGTCGTCGAGTCTGCTTGCGGGACGATTCGTAATGACTCTCGAAAACAGCACGTAGACGCGGCTCAGAAGGGAAATCGGTCTGTAGTTCTTCAAGAGAGCGTTGTTGCCTTTCTTAAAGAACAAGACCACCGCACTTCTACTCCACGCCTCTGGAGTAGTGCCACCATGGAGGACGGAATTGAAGAGCTTCTGAAGGACTTCAAGTACCGGTGTTCCAATGTTGTGTTAAATCAGCTTAATACAAGTCAGTTATTTGATATTGCAGATAAACACCTCATTAAATTTTGTTTATACGTAATATATTATATATAAATTAAAAGGCATACAACATGATTGTTACAGACAAGAAAGTTCAAATCTACAAAGCCCTTAATAAAGGTAACAGTTCAGGAGTTTACATGCAGTTTGCCGACGATTATTTTTCTATTCCACCGTCTTACGTTTTGGACCAACACACTACGTTTTTAATAAACCTTAGCTGTCCAAATGTCTCTTATTATTTAGAAAAGGTGCTTATTAAGCTTAAAGGTAACATATTGTATTACTGGTATTTTTTAAATCCTTCCTGATTACAGTGTTTTGCTATTGTAGAGCGAAAAGGCTAATTATTTCCGAGCTCCTTACCGATGGATAATTTTCAACAGCAGTGAAATTAAATATGAAAATGATACCACTAATTTCATACCTGCAGCTTTATCTAAAATAAATATATTTCCTGATTCTGAAGTAATTTATATGCATCAAGCGCAAAAAGGCGTTTTTGAGTTTCATCTGAGTAAGTAGTGTGATTATTTGAATTATTTGATTGCCTGCAAACTGATAATATACTTTACAATATTTTTAGTTTACAAAATTTGCTACAACCGAGCATGGCAAACTGAACCTTACGGCGTTTATAATATGGCAGGAAATATCAAAAAGTTTGATAAAGTAGCTGAATCAACAGCAATACGCAGACTTAATTTAGATGGATATGAAATTAAAATTTGTTACGTTCTTACCAACAAAAATAGTATAAATCATCTCACTGATGGAATGTATGTAATAATAACACCATTTTAAAACATTCAAAATAATTTTATGGCACATAATGTTATTAAGATGGTCATATTAAAAGAAATTTTACATTTTAGCGATGACCACATCGACACAATTACAAAAGTAAACTTCCCTACAACTAATCAACTGCTTGATTATCTTAACGCTCGAAGAAAGTTTATTTTCGCTGATACATGGGGCTATCAGCATAATAACACTTGGAATGGAATGACTGGGTATCTGATTAGAGGCGAAGTTGAGATTGGAGGTAAGTGTTTACCTGATCATATCGGCTGTTCATGCAAAGATAGGCAAGTCAGTGACAAACCAGCAACACAGTCCACCTAATAGTAAGTGGATCAGTCCACCTGATAATAAGTGAATCAGTCCACCGGATAGTAAGTGAATCAGTCCATCTGATAGTAAGTGAATCAGTCCACCTGATAGTAAGTGAATCTGTCCACCTGATAGTAAATGAATCAGTCCACCTGATACTAAGTGAATCAGTCGGTCTGATAGTAAGTGAATCAGTCTACCTGATAGTAAGTGAATCTGTCCACCTGATAGTAAATGAATCAGTCCACCTGATAGTAGAATGCTTCGTGTAATGGAATTGTTAGTAAAAGGACGAAACACAGCAGCATTTCCTGCTATTTTACTCTAGTATTTCATCAGAACGTGAGCTATCCCCTACCAAAATCAAAATTATTTAAATATTTGTTTTACTTTATAACAGTTAGGCGACGGGTCCTATTAGTATTTAAATCTGCTGCGCAGCATTCAGGAGACCACGGCACGTCTTCTTGTTACTTATACTTGGGCACCATTCAGGAGACCACGGCACGTCTTCTTGTTACTTATACTTGGGCAGCATTCAGGAGAGCACGGCACGTCTTCTTGTTACTTATACTTGGGCAGCATTCAGGAGACCACGGCACGTCTTCTTGTTACTTATACTTGGGCAGCATTCAGGAGACCACGGCACGTCTTCTTGTTACTTATACTTGGGCAGCGTTATTCAGGAGACCACGGCACGTCTTCTTGTTACTTATACTTGGGCAGCATTCAGGAGACCACGGCACGTCTTCTTGTTACTTATACTTGGGCAGCATTCAGGAGACGACGGCACGTCTTCTTGTTGCTTATACTTGGGCAGCATTCAGGAGACCACGGCACGTCTTCTTGTTACTTATACTTGGGCAGCATTCAGGAGACCACGGCACGTCTTCTTGTTACTTATACTTGGGCAGAATTCAGGAGACCACGGCACGTCTTCTTGTTACTTATACTTGGGCAGCATTCAGGAGACCACGGCACTTCTTCTTGTTACTTATACTTGGGCAGCATTCAGGAGACCACGGCACATCTTCTTGTTACTTATACTTGGGCAGCATTCAGGAGACCACGGCACGTCTTCTTGTTACTTATACTTGAGGTATAAGTCATATATATTATCTTTAAAACAAGATTGTACAACTAGAGCGTGTTGACAGTGATGTCGTATCATTGATCTGAGATGTGGTGCTTCACTGCTGGCCGTATGAAAAAGCACAAGTTCTTTTTGGCATTTTTTGAAGGAGGCCTCTCTTTAGCAGTAAACTTATGTTAGGCTGTATAGATGACGAGTTGATGAAATTCTAACAGAAAATTATAACGAAACATGTTACAAATATAATTTATACATTACAAAGCATTGAAGTCATAACAAAGCAAGTTATTAGCAATTTCGCATTGTTTACTGTTATCCTGTTTAACAGTTGTGGTTGTAACTATTGTGTTGGAAATCTATTAATCTGAAATTACAATTTTTAATAAATTACAATTATTGGCTAGCAATAAAATATAGTCTGAGGTATTTGTACAATGTCTGTTAATATTGGTGTGTATTAAATAATAGGTAATAAATCTCCATTGTCTATGCCGTGCCTGTTATTATGGAGAATAAGTCGCACAAAGCTTTATAGATCGATATTACTTATTTTAATATAAAATAGAAAAAGAATTTCAAAAGAAATAAACAGAAATAAATACAAGGATCTCAGTCGGTATATGGATGGTATGTGAAACGTTAAATTTCTTCCGAAACACCAAGGGAAACGGTGTTCAGGCATTTTTTTTCTTCCGAAACGTCAAAATGGACGATGACGTTCGGGCGTCTTCTTCTTCTGAAACGTCAAAAGGGAAACGACGTTAGGGCGTCTTCCTTCAGCTAGTTCTTCAACCATCTGTGAAGGTCACATTGAAACGAACGTTGGGGTTCACAGGTCCTTATCTGGCTCGAAGGACCAATTGAAACAAACAGCCGTGGTCTTCATCTCACGCCGTAACAGTGATCAACCAATTACTGGTCCCTTTACTATATCCCACCTCGTTGGGTTCGGGAATCAACGCAATGGGCGTAACACCTGATAAGGCGTTCGACTTAGAACCTTAACCGCTTTCTTAACCTAATATTCCCAGAATATTCCCAGTCCAGACGTCAGTCATGTACTTAGTGGACTTTATATCTGCTTACTTTCCTACTTATATGTTAGACATTCATAAATACCCCTTGCAAATGTGATACCGAACTTTCACTACTTTCACTTTAATTTTCCTAATTTCGTTTTCTTTCTTGATAACTGGAAACTGGAGATGGTCCGGAGGAATTGTAAATTGGGCAACTTACTAAGGTACTCCCGAGCTAAACCGTAAGAAGAGCTACGCGAGAAAACCCCCAACAATCCGATAATTTTTACTATCATATTTCCATATATTGTCACTTATCTATATTTCCCATAATAATAGCACAAAATAACTGTATTTCACAAATAATTCGAATTAAACACATTATAATAAACAATTAAACATTTACATCACATAAAGCATTAATAAAATTTAAAGCTTAATATCATTATTCTATAAACAATTTTTTATGTTAATAAACCTTAAAACGCTAAATGCAGTCTTTACAATACAGTTTTTATTAATATTTTCACCTAGTTTAAATCAAGAATTAAAACTTTAAGCAGATCTTTAAGCAGAATTAAATTCAAAATATATTATTTATTTTTCTCATTATTTCACGATTTTATTACTAGAATTGAATTTTATTGACATTTCTTTTATATTATTCTTATACAGAATACAACCAAAACATTAACAAGTCTCTATTACACACATTTTAAAACTTTTCATAAAAGTATTATTTTAATTAATATCAACAGTAATATCCTTAAAAACGATTCGGACTTGCGTTTTTCTTTTCTGCTAAATACCTATATTAATTGACAAACTCAATTTTACACGACCCTCTGGATCCACATTCACATATATAGTCCCATCAGTCTCCTTACCACACTGGGGAAAGTTTACGAACGTATAAAATTAAATCGCATTAAAATTTTTGTTATTATGAACATACATTAAATTTTATTGAGATGCCAAAGTTAATATATTTATTTATTCAAATTTTTCTCTAAGGGATTCTTATATTTTAGGTTCCCCAATGTTTTTTACGACGGAGCGCGTGTCTATTGTGGAATATATATCAAGCCCAACACCAACCAGATCAAAGTTCGTCTTTCAGCAACCGAAGCTCTCCTACGAAAATAATCTATTTCTTCTGTCTTTCCGTAATTCAGTATGGTACAGTATTGTGGCACTGATTTTTCTTCTGTTTTTGGCGTTATTAATCGTAACAATTTGGGAATGGAAGAAGTGCAATCGTGAAATTCATGCGGTAACATCTTATTATATTTCAAACACTGTTTAATTTTATCCTAAATTAATATTATAAAATTCAAGCAATTTTTTTTTAAATTTATTAGAGAGAAGGTGACCCTGGTGTGCTGAGGCCAAATGTGATGGACGTTGCAATATTAATATGCGGAGCTACATGTCAGCAAGGAAGTCCTGTAGAACTTAAAGGTATTTCGTTATCACAAATAGGATATTACACCCATTTTCAAAGAGTGTTTTAAATGAATCCTGTAATAGTATAATGTTATTAATGATGTCACTAATTGAGTAAGGCTAATTTATAAAAAAAAAAAGAAATTTTGTTGTCATTTTTGATTTTGGAAATAAAAGGCTATTTTATTTTATTTATTTTAAATGAATCCTAGAGTGATAATGAACTACTATATTTTTTATGAATATTATAAAACCGAATATGTAGTGCCATAAATTACTTTTAATCTATCGTTTTAAATTTAGCCGCAATACTGTACAACTCGTGACGTCACTGCCCTAGATTTTTGCCAATTTTGCAAAGGAATAAGATACCTTTGGGTGTTTAATAATGAGTTATCATCTTTACTAAACACCCAAAGGTATCTTATACTGGTTTTTTGTGCTTGAATGCAAAAATACGAGCATAAGAACGTCGGGGAAGTTATGGATTCAAGTGCCAACTAATTTAAATATGAGAAATACTTAGTTACAACTGGCAATAAGATACCCGAATACATTGTCTACAAAAACTAGAATATTTTTGATGTTTTTTACACGGTGTAAAATAGGTACCCTATTGTATATAACGAGCATTATTACGATAAAAATTTTATTATATATTCGTTTTAAATAATGGTCCTGTCGGTCTGATCTTCCGAATTTTACTATATTTTATTAAATAGAGAGAATATTAAATACATTTAAAATAACCAACAAACAACAAAGCTAATTTGACCTGTTACCGCCAAACACATAACAGTGTCTGGATGAATTGAGAACCTAATATCCACCCAGGCAGTTGATGGATGCAGGTGGCTTATGACCGTGTTTTGTACGTGTATAGATTGTCACGCAGAGCATCAGTTATGATAGGTTTTATTGAGAATAATGATATTAAGCTTACGTAAATTATAAATACTAAAGTGCAAAATAGTTTTAGTGCGATTTTAAGTTCATACGCGCAAAATTGCTTTTAAATCCTAAACAAATTCTTGTTATTTCATCGACTTGTAAGTAGGCTCAAAAATCTCTTGTAAAAATACCGACCTCTAGTACAAGGCGTCTGGTAATTTAGGCTATCATCGATCTGAAAATATGCCTAGAATTTTTGTTCTTTCGCTCTTTGTCTCATAAACATTATATAAACTAGCGATCTGCCCCGGCTTCGCGTAAGTGATTTCTGGATCTCGGGTCTCGGCAACATCGCCACCTACCGGGTCTAATATGAATTTAAACCATCTAGGGACTTATTCACACAAAAATATTCATCAAAATCGGTTGAGGCTGTTTGAGTTTCAGCGAGACTAACGGACAGCAATTGATTTTTATTAGAGA